GCCGCGCGGCCTGGGGGGGGCAAGAGGACACCCGCGCGGAGGAGCCGGAGGGCCACACCTGGCCGGGCGGGCGGCCCCGGAACCCCTTTCAACCCGTGTTCCCAGATACTTTCGAAATGATTTGGGATCTAATTTTTAATGACAGGTAAGAGCGACACCACTGTCTAGCACCCCCAGCAGCCCCCACCCAACGAGGGAAGCTCCCCGGTCCCCAGGGCGGCCCGCAGGCCCGGTCTGCGGGCCGCGCTGAGGCCGCCGGGCACAAGCACGAGGCCTGTGGGCTCTTGGCACCACCGCCGCCCGACATTTGTGACCCAAACGGGGTTGTCGGGAGGGGGCTGGGCAAGTCCGCGTTCTGGAACCTTCCATCCCTGTCAGCTCTGTGGGCCTCCAGCCTTCCTCGGAGTCCGGGCAGGGCGGCAGTGCCGCTGGAGGCCCGGGGGTACACGCCATGTTTGTGTGAGCTCAGCTCTGGCTCGGTCTCAGGCTGGGAGCCGCGGCCCGCCCACCTGCCCCCTCCTGGCATGGAGGAGGGTCCCGAGAGGAGAGCGCCTACTGAGGCCGCCTGGCCCGCGGGTGGCCCGCACCCTGCCGAGGTCGCAGGACATGAGGAAGGAGAAAGACCAAGCACCCGGCAGGGGTCTGTACACTCAACCCGGACTCCCCAGTGGCCTTGACGGTGTGGTTGAAGGGGACCACAGAGAAAGCGAGTGAGCTGTATGGACAGCACGCCCGGGAGTCGTGGGTAACCGGTGTCGGCCCCGTGGCGCAGCGAGTCGGAGCGCAGCACTAGAAGCTACCTACCCGCAGCCGCTTCAGCACGAGTCCATCTCCGGCCACGGAGGGGCCCCGGTGCAGCAGACCCCTCCAGTCTCCCCACTGCCCCCTCAGCAGTGGGTCTCAGTCGCTCTGCCAGTTCTGCTCCCCGCTGTCTCTGGTGAGTCTTCTCACCCCTACCCCTCTGGCCTGCACCCCAGTTCCATGTGCATAAACACATAAATCTTTAACATTGAAATCAGGAATGTCCCAGTGAGCTCTGCCCGGCCCTGTGAGGTTGGCTGCACCTGCCTCCAGGAAGGGCCCCAGGCCCTGCTTCCAGGGGAACCCCAGCACTGAGGTGGGGGTCAGGGCTGGCTCCTGCAGGCCCCCGCCACCGGGCGGTTGCCAGGGGTGACGCTCTCCGACTGTACCACCGCCACCGTCAAGCGGCCAGCAAAACACAGTTTCTGAGCCCCGGTGCCCCGGGGCTGTGGGGGGCCAGAGGGCGCCGGCCTCTGAAGCTGTGCCGCTCTTCTGCCAGGCGGGTTGCTCCCGTGGTCCCAACACACAGGCCTCCTAGAGTAAGCTTCAGAGGACACCCAGCCTTTCTCTCCACACCCCCAATTTTTGGCTCTCAAAAGCAAGCTGCTTGTGCGAGGGTCCGCGAAGCTGAGGGGAGTCTCAGGCTCTGGGACCTTCTAGGCCAGCAAGTGCCCTTGAGCGTGAGGCGCCGTCCCGGAGCCCAGGTGCCGCTCGCTGAGGGGGAGAAGTTGCCCAGCAGGTCCTTCTTGAGCAAGGAAATGAAAAGGAGGCATTGGCTTTGGTGTTTCTTTGCAGCGGGCATTTTTTCCAATTGTGGTAAAATACGCGTAGCACAAACATCAGCATCTCAGCTTTATGTGGCCACTTCTGTGGCCCCAACGTGGTCTGTCCACACTTTTGTGTGGCTGCTACCACCCTCCCTCTCCCAGATCTTTCCGTCGTGCAAACAGACCTCATGAACCAGCCCCCCACTCCTCCTCCCAACAGTAGCTGGGGCCTGCCGCCGACTCTGTCGCCACGAATCTGACCACCTCGTGTGATCGGGCTGTGTCTCCGTTCACGGACCGGAAGGTCCTCAAGGGCCAACCGTGTCGTAGCGGGTGTCCGGCTTCCTCCGCAGCACAATGCTCCACGGCTGGCTGGCCAGCCCCACGCCCCCATCTAGCCACTCCTCTGGGAGGGACACCTGGCGGCCCCGTTTCTGGTGGCAGTGAGTGACACAGCAGGTGCTTGTCATGGCCGTCAGCTCCCCTGCAGAGGTCATGCGCCTTCTGGAAGAGGAATGGGCAGCCTCGAGGTGGCCATGGTGTTGATGACTGGAGGCCGGGCGCAGGCTGGGCAGTGACCTCTCCTTCTCTCTTCTGCTTTTCTCTCTCCTTTCCCCAGGCAGCCCTGTTAGTCTCCAGCTGTGCAACTCGAGTACCTTGCAAGGTCACTTTTCTTCTTCCATTTTCTTTGTCTGCATAAGACTGGTAGGGGCTGGAATGTGCCAGTGGCCCCCAGGGCCCCAGCTTGGGTCCCATGTCACAAAGGTCAAAGGCATGTCTGAAGGCCACAGAGCAAGAGGACAGAGCCCTCGTGGCACCTGGCGCCCGAAACTGCCTCCACAGGGCGGACTTCTGCCCGACTGGCAGAGCGCGCCCCCATTTGACTGCTCCCAGGGTGCCTATGTTCCTTCCCGGGCCAGACCTGCAGCCCGCCAGGGATGGAGGCTCCGCCTGGAATCGCAGGCGGCCAAGGGGCCAGGGTTTGGATTAACTGGGCCCGCGGAGGGTCTGCTGTTAGCGTGGCGCTGGCGCCTGGGAGTGCAGGTGGGATGCCGCTCGGCCGTCCCTGAGTGCCCGTGAGTGGCCGCTCGGTCCAGGCACCGGTCCTCGGTTGTCACGTTTCCCTTCTCGGTTCCTTGCGCCAGAACTGCGGGTCGGCCCCTCCGCCTTCCACCGGGAGCCATTCCCGACCCCCAGCTACATCCTAGCCGCGGGGACACGCTCCTGCCTCCTCTCCTCGAGCAGCTTTTGTTACGACCTCGAACGGGGCGCCCCCCCTTGTGTGGTCGGGCGCGGGACCGCTCCAGGCCGTGGCCTCGGGGCTGCGGACCCCTCGGCGGGAGGGGCGGCCGCCAGCGGGGCCAGGC